CAACAGGGGCGGATATAGATCGGAGTTGTTGTTTTTTTTTGGGGGGGGGGGGGGCAACCGTTCGTCGCCAGCTGGCTGGTGTGGGATCCGAGGTCCAGTGCATGGTGCCTCTCGCGAGTACCTAGTAGGGAACACCATTCAAGCAGCGAAATGATTTTGAATCTTAAACAGAATTCAAAGCAAAACAGTTAAAATTAAAACAGACGGTCAGTAGACGAAACTTTTATGAAGTTCTGAAAATGTTTTGGAAGAATCTATGGGGTTCCAACGGATGTGCTTGAAATCAGGCTTTTCTCTCCGTTCTACAACAAAGAACTCCAGAAAGCATTTAGGTTGTTTAAACCTTGCAATGCCATCTTCAATGAGCTGACAAGTTCTGTTCACTGTTATAGCACATACCGATGGCCGTTCTAGGCAAACAAGCAGGACATGCCTCGGGTTATGACCCTTATCGAGGTCACTGAACGACTGGACCTCTACAAGCTGACCCAGCAGCTGAAACAAATACGGGCTTCTTCAACCACACAGGGCGAGGGCCTGTGCGACGCCCTGGATTGCCTGTCCAGGGAAATCGAAAAGAGTCGCTAGACCCGGCTGCAAGTGAAAAGCACAAAAACCGACGTGGCCCATACCGTACCAGAGACCAGAACGGCGCACGGTCAAGCTTTGGTGACGTCATCGTCAGAGATTGGAGCCATGCACTGCTTCGACACATGCACGCTGCATACAGGAGTCTTGCTTCATTCAGCTGCGCGTGAATGCAAGTCAGTTCTTATTCAGCATGCTTGAGCGAAATGGAACAGAATGAAAAAGACGAAATGTCGTAAAAATAGATCTGGACCTACCTCCCACACTGCGATACTAATCAAGCGATTATTGCATCAAACAGGCATGACTGGGTCTGGCTACGGTTCTGAATCAAGCAGGATTGTACTTGAATCACGATACGAACAAGTGCGACTCGATTCGAAAGCAATGCTTCTTATTCTGAACGGCAGGAACACTACAGGTATGCATATAGTTGAACTAATTGCATCATTTATGACCTCTACAGCTCATAATCTGTCCTCTACAGGCCAGAATGGACCCTCTAAGGGCCAGTACGTGCGTCTTTAGGGCAGAATGGGTCCTACGCAATCAATAATGGGCCTTCTTCAGGTCAGAGTGGGCATCTAAAAGTTTAAAATTGCCCTCTGTTGCTTGGAATGGATCCCAAATAGGCCACAGTGAGCCATCGACGGGCTAGAATAAACTTTAAATGACTTGCATAATTCCTCAGCAGTTCAGAATCGACCGCTAACATAGCAGAATGGGCCCTCTACAGGCCCTCCAAGCTAGGAGGGAGGCGAGGTGCCCTTAATGCTCCCCTGTTCCCGCGTCCTTGGATATCAGCCCCTCTCCGAAGCCACCTCGGAGTCATCTTCTCGCCGCGCCGTCTGTATGAGATGTGGTTCCATCTCGCTAGAACCACTGTTGGTGTAGCTGCTGCATGTTACCGCCATACTTGCGCTGCAAAGATCGTCAAGAAATTATAAAAAAAAACACTTGCAAATACCGCTCGGTGTCGGCTGCGACAGCCGTGCCATTCCGATCCACGAACCAACAAGATTTGATCATGCCTCTGCTGCTCCTGGTGCACCATGCAGTGCACTGTGCGCTGTGCTGGTGGATTTCGGCGCCGGCGTCAGGGCCGTTTTGTCGAACAAAGCCGGTAATTTGCATGTAAGTTGGCTTTCCAAGGTGAGTTTTACCCTCATTACTGAGCAGGACTGGTAGATAAGGACAATCTTGCCTTTTTCTCCTCTGCCTCGCAAATCTAGCCTTGCAATCGTCTAGAAAAAAAAAACAGCCGCTGTATGTGTGCGTGAGCCTGTTTATCAGTCTCGGTCTGCGTCTGGTGGACAGAGACATTCGTGCGTTGCCGCAGGTCCCTTGGCTTCCTCCATTCTTGGCAGCTTAAAGCTGTCACAAGCTGTCCAAAGGCATAACAAGCTGTCAAAGCTGTCATACATGGTATCGGGCAACATTTAGGAAGCCACTCTTTATTTAAAAAACAACGGGACGTTCCTCATGTCCCGCTTCCCAAGCTGGCTGCAGTGGCAGGAGAGGTCGTCTTGTCCGCTTCAAGATGGATGCAGTGGTGGGAGGAGGGACGTCCGTTGCACTGCTATATTCCTAATCAATCCGTTGATCCTACTACTGCCCTCAAACAGCGGCCTCAATTGGTTAGAGCAAACTAGGCCCTCAAAGTCGGCTTGGTAGACTGTTAGGCCTTCTACCAAGGTGACGTCAAAGCGTCCAAACCCACCTGGCCGTCGTCATGGCGGCGTTTTAGAGCTGATAGCGTAATTTGGATCCCGTGTTGTTTATACGCCTTATATAATCGCGCGCCCGTTAACAAGACAGAGTCCAGGTACTCATAATTTTGTTTGCGGCCAGTTTGTTGATGCATGCGTATCCCGAACATTTCCATTCTACGTTCTGCACCTCTCTGTGAGATTATACCGTTCTACACCCGTCCAGTCAGCCTGTTCTCCCCATCCTGGTCACCGTGAGACCAGCCTGCCCACTGCGCCTGCTGGCCGCGGGATAACACTACTCTTCCGCTGCTGCCCGGTGTGGGATCAAGCCCACTCGTCGCGCGCTTGTGGGCTCTTCTCTTCCTGCCCGCTGTGGGGATTAGTCTGCCGTCGTGGGGTTAGTCTGCTCTGGCCCCTGCGGCGGTCCGGCTCGCCGTTGAATCAGCCCAGCCCTTGCCCTCTGGAGCCACTAAGGAAGGCCGTGGGCGACGACTGAGTGGTGTCACCAGGAGGTACAGGCCGGCCCTGCCTCCGGAGCCACTAAGGAAGCCGTGGGCGACGACTGAGTGGCGTCACCCGGAGGTACAGGCCGGCCCTGCCCTCCGGAGTCACTAAGAAAGCCGTGGGTCACGTTTGAGTGGCGTCACCGGAAGGTGCAGGTCGCAGTGTCCGCAGCTGCTCCACCGCCGGTCAGCGCCAGGCGTCAGCGGCGCCAGGTGTGCGTCGCGGAACAGTCAGCGACTGCTCCGGAGCTCCGCCAGTCCGGCAGACACTACGATCATCTAACTGTGAGGCCGCAGCAGCACTGCGTGCAGACTGCTCTGATGAGTGATTCGTTAGCGTTTTGATCAGATGTGATGGCCGATAGGTGTTGATGATACTCTCGCTTTGCTGCTTTGCAAACTTTTCTATCCCAAAAACATCATCAGACGGCTGAGGATCAGACTGATGTTTGAAACGAGTGTGCAGTGAAATAAAGCTGAAAGGTTTGTTGTGCTGCCAGGCGAGACCTTCACGGTTTGCTCGTCTATGGCAAATATCAAACAGATGTGGTTCCAACTATTTGCAACGAATGGGTGCGATTCTGCCGCAAGAAACGTAACGTCTTTAGGGCATCTCAGTTTATTCTTTAAAAATGTTGTTTTTTCAAATGAATTGCGAACTTGTGAGTGGGTGCTGGTTGCACAACCTATTAGCGAGAGCGAAAGAGGGCGGCACGTGGTCGGAGCTGCCCAGCCCACCGGCGCGCATCATCACCCACCTGCAGGTCATGGTTCTGCAACATGTCTCGGAGCTCGTCAGCAGCCTCCTTTTAGACCTCGTCCGTCAAAACCTGGTAAATACAATCCAGAGTCTCAACTGTGATCCGAATCGGATCCGGGTGGAATTTACACGAAATTCACGCATGAAAATAAGGAAATGAGCTTGGCTGGGTTACTGATCCTATTGGTAGCCCCTATAAACGGTGAATCTCATGTTCACTAAGAACGGAGGCAAACTGGAAGAAGAAACAAAAAAAAACTAAAATAGACGCCAACCTGAACTGTTTATGCCGTTTTACAACGAGAAGCACTGAATCTGTACGAGTCACGCTTGTTGGCGTAGTGATTCAGGTACTGTCCTGCTTGATTCAAAATCATGGTCTGACCCACCCATGCGTTTTGGATGAAATCAGCTGTTGATTCGTATCACAATCACGGTGTGAGACGTGGGTCTTGATCTCGCCTTGCAACTATTTGTCCACTCCACTCTGTTTCATTTATGCCCAAGCATGCTGAGTAAGAATTGACTCCGCTCACGCACAGCTGAATCAAGAAAGACTGTGTGCAGCACACATGTATGGTAGCAGTGCCTTCTGAGTGGAAACTGTCCACACCATTCACAACGGACGAACTGATGCCATTAACGGAAAGGTGTGGTAGCGAGCACGAGCACAATCGAGCACGTCCGAGCACCATTTTATCACCCGGTTTGAAGCGGAGTAGCGGAAAACATGGCGAGCACCAAAAGAGACGCTTGATTGAAGCAAGCAACGGAAATATTGTGCAGCACTCCGTCGTCTGTTCCAGCAACTTTTGATTAGTTCACCACATACCTACCACCATACGGGACACTCTCAAGTAGCTTCACCCTTGAATCGAGTTTCAGGCACCGAACGCAAAGAACGAAAGCAAAAGAATGGCTATTGTCCCCACTAACGTCGCCTGGAGTCCGACATTTTTGTATGGGGAAGTTGATACGCTGGGAGATCGCAGGTCCGACATGCCAAGGAAATAACTTACAGTATGAGTAGTTGAACATTTTGGACATGCTGTCCACAGGTTTACTTCGATGAACGCCATCGAGCAGCGCACTTTAACTACGTGATTCCTGCACCGGACATCGACAGTTACAGCGTAGCACAAAGCTCCACGGCTGAAGAGGTGGGCGAGAGAAGGTTTCCTACAGTTTCCTAAGCGGCTCCGGAGAGCAGGGCCGGCCTGTACCCCCCTGGTGACGCCACTCAGTCGTCGCCCACGGCTTCCTTACTGGCTCAGGGGGGCGGGGCCGGCTGATTCAGCGGCGAGCGATACCGCCGCAGGGGCAGGGCAGACTAACCCCACGACGGCAGACTAGTCCCACAGCGGGCAGGAAGAGAGCTCACCGCACGCAACGAGTGGACTGATGCCACAGCGGGCAGCAGCGGAAGAGTAGTGTTACCACCGCGACGGGCGGGGCGGTGGGCAGGCTGATCTAACTGTGACCAGGATGGGGAAAACAGACTGATTGTACGGGTGCAGAACGGTATGATCTCGCAGAGGAATGTAGAACAGATAACAGATACATGGGAACAGAAATTCTGGATTGCGTTCGGTGTTTTCGACCGGCGGAATAGTGTTTGAAATGACAAGCGGCAGAGGCAGGTAGAGGCAAAGGCAGGCAAGCGGTGAAAAGGCAGATATGTGGGAGTGCCAGGAATAGACAGGCAGGTAAGGCAGGTGTGTCATTGGATATGCTAACGCAGTGATGGAAAAAACAGTGCAGTTCGATCGGACTGCGAAACATTTTCGAATCAGACCACGTGACATTACAGCGACAGAGTTGGCTCCAATTACTTGCGTTGAAGTCACCAAAACTTGACTGCGTGTCGTTCTGATCTTTGAGGTTATGCAATACTCTGGTACGGTTCGGGCCGCGTCGGTTGTTTTGTGCTTTTCACTTGGGGCCGGGCCTAGCGCCTCCTTCCGATTTCCCTGGAGAGCCAATCCAGGGCCTCGTACAGGCCCTCGCCCTGCGTGGCTGAAGTAGCCTGCACGTGCCACGGCTGCTGGGTCAGCTTGCAGAGGTCCAGTCGTTCGGTGACCTCGCTTGGAGTCATGACTCGAGGCATGTCCTGCTTGTTGGCCAGAACGACCACCGGTATGTGCTGTAGCAGTCAAGAGAACGTGTCAGAACGCTCATTGAAGATGGCATTGATGGGGCGAAACAACAAAAACATTTCTGGAGTTCAGGGGAAAACACCTGACTTCAAGTATGTCCGTTAGACCCAACGGGCGCCAAAGCGGAAATGCGAATCACGGTGCAACGAAATGCACAAGTCTTAGATACCGAAATAGAATCTAACAGAGGCAGAGAGAGACGAGAGAGAGAGAGAGAGAGAGAGAGAGAGAGAGAGAGAGAGAGAGAGAGAGAGGAGGAGAGAGAGAGAGAGAGAAGGAGAGAGGGGGGGGGGAAAAGGGTTGGGGTGCGGGGAGGACACGTCATTGGAGCTACCAAGCCCGCCGGCACACACCGCCACCCACCTGCAGTTCATGATGCTGCAGCATGTCTCGGAGCTCGTCAGCGGCCTCCTGGATACGCTCACGGTCCAGTGAGTCAACCACGTAGATGAGGCCCTTGGAGTTGCTGAAGTAGTGGTGCCAGAGTGGACGGATGACCTTCTGGCCGCCGACGTCCCAGACGGTGAAGCTGATGTTGCGGTACTCGATCGTCTCGACGTTGAAGCCGATGGTGGGGATGGTGGTGACGACCTCGCCCAGCTTGAGCCGGTGCAGGATGGTGGTCTTGCCGGCCGCGTCCAGGCCGAGCAGCAGGATACGGACCGGCTCACGGCTGTGCACCAGGCCGTCCAGCGCCTCCAGCACTCGTGACAGCAGCAGACCCATCTCTCACGGGGCAGCTACAGCTTCTCAGGCGGTGAAGAGCAGCCGTCAGAGGACTGGTGAGCCACGGGTCAGACTTCGTACGGCTCCTCAGTTGTCTCCTTCTCCTCGCCTTCACGTATGAGGTTGTGACCCTCCGTCGCGGCTCCATCCCCGTTAAAAGCAGTGCTTGTATCTAACAACAACGGAGCGTGCCAGCGTGTCTGCTTCCAACGTGGCTCCTGTGGTGCAAACGATCGTCATGGGCCGATATTGATGTGTCGGCGGTTGGGTCGGACGCTGATTGGCTGACGGCGCGGCTTACTCAGCCCGAGTGTGACGTCACTGACTGCGGTCGACGGTCCGCTGCTGGTGCTGTTGAGGCAGGCCGGATTACCACAGAGCCGGGCAGTGGACGGACTGGTCCTAACCTGCTTGAGCGGTGAACGGATCTTAACCCAAAGAAGCCCTGTCTGGCGTGGTTCAGCCAGCCTTGCCCACGACCTGAAAGTTAACATTTTTCCATCGAAAATGACAGCGGCATGTAATTTTCAGAAAAAAGACATTGGCTAACAGTTTTGCCTTTTAATTAACGCGGCATTATCATACATACCGTTTGATCATGCAATACTGCAATGTAACAGGGGTGTAATAAGCGAAGTCAGCTGGTGTGGACAGCCAATAGGATATCCAAGGACCTCGATATGCTCCAAACGTTTGACTTTTCCCCGGATTTATATGCATAACGGAGATATTAAAGTCATTTTAAGCCACACTTCAAGAAAGAGAGAGAGAGAGAGAGAGAGAGAGAGAGAGAGAGAGAGAGAGAGAGAGAGAGAGATATATATATATATATATATATATATATATATATATATATATATATATATATATATATATATGTATATATGTATATATATATACATATATTGCGCGTTTTATAGGCTGTTAGAATTAAATCGTATGTTGATATTGGTATGTCATAAATCAGTTCGTCTATGGCCACCTATATTATTCTTAGCTGGCTTAATTTTCAAGAACACTCGTTCTCGATTCGCAAAGCAATGTAAGGCAGTCAGGCGGAAAGCATTCGAATATGGCGAAACATGACGCAGGCGTTACGAGACATAATCAAATGTGGACCATCAGCTCACAGAACATGCGCCCAAATATCAGGTCACGCTACAAAACACATCCAGACACACATACCTCACTTCTCCAACCTCTCTGACACCATGGCAAGTTCAAGGCACCAAATTACCACGCTGTCATTGGGTGACTGAACAGGTACAGTGACTGAACAGGTCTGCAGTGATGTGTGACTTGAGCTATTTGTTTAAATCAGACATTCTTTCTGTGATGAGGGTGGCTTCGAGGACTTGTAAACGGTGCTTCTTTGGACACGAGTTTAAAATTCGTGTGTTTTCAGTAAGGTCAGAGCGTAGGAGCTTGGTATTGTGGATTTTGCGCATATGCTGGTCTGGTGTTCCGCCCTGCAGGTGCATTGCCATGCGCCGTGATGGACGTGTCATGGTTATTCCAAGATAGGTCGAGTTACGCAGCCGGCAGTCGCCGTTGGGACATTTGATTCCATACACTGAACTGGTGGCTTTTAGCTGGTTTTGGTCTCCGGTCAGGTTGTTTTCCGTTGCGGGGCTGCTAGTTGTCGGGCTCTTGTAAAAGATGGCAAGTCGTATTTTAGTGTATTCGTCAGTCGGTGGGATATTTGACCTGGCGATGTTCTGCAAAACTTTTTCGTCCACCTTATATGACGAGGACATTTTATTTCAATAAAGGTTATTGGTCGGTTTCTTGTCGAGTGGTTTCAGGTTTTGTCTAATTTAAGGTGGACCTAACCTCTTGGTCAATTGCGCTGTTGGAAGGCCGTCATGAATGAGCAATTGCTTGCCCTTTCAAGTTCATTGTACGTGCTGGACTAGTTGAATCAATATATGAGTACTCTAACGGCCGCATGGTAATGCTCTAGGCATTCGCTAGCTTTATCATGCATTTACCGGCATCGGTAGATTTACGACGCGCTTTCGTCACAAAGATCCCTTACTCTCATTCACATCGGTGTCGAGAGATGGTTAACCGTTGTATACACTCAGGTCACCTCTAATATAAAGAATAAAAAAAACTCACCTCACCCCATTTGCAAACTGTAGCACCGATTGTCGCTGCATGGCTGCCTGTAGTTGACGAAGATGGACCTTGTCTCTAACATCAACAAATATGCCATCGATGTATCCGCAGTATATATGGGGCTTATTGCTCAGTTCTTTAGAACAAGGCTCTCCAGCCAGCACATATACACTTTAGCAAACAAACATCCGAGTGGTGATCCAATTGCGACACAATCTACTTGAGACAGATCTTCCGTTTGGACAAGTGAAGAGTGCCTCTATGGTGCAGCATCGGAGCATCGTTTTCGAGGATGGATCGTGACAGTTTTAGTGGTGGCAAGGTTGGGTGATTGCAGGATGGATCGTGACAGTTTTAGTGGTGGCAGGGTCGGGTGATTGTAGGCACAGTCCAGTATAATCTGGGCCGTTTTTATCAACAGGCGCGTTTGTAAACAGACTTTCTGCATTTAATGAAGCAAGTAAACCAGTGATATTGCTAGACCTGATAATATCAATGAACTCTCCCGTCGATCCCGAGCTTTGCTCTGCCGATATGTAGTGTTCAATCATGCCATTTAAAATGTTGCCAGATGATGGGTAGGTGTAGGGATTTGGGATACAACTGGTCTCAGGAGGTTATTCGGTGTATGTGTTTTACGTTGCCGTAAGCATAACCAAGTCTATATTTACGTGTGGCCTCCGTGAAGTGCTGCCCGCCCACCAGAGCGTTTGCCACGGTTATCAGCCTGTTGACTTTCTTAGTAAAGCTTTTGGCTTATTAAGTTTATTCGCATCCCTCGTGATGCGAATGAACTTAGAGGTGTTAGAGAGGAGATGCTTCATTTTACTCACACGGGAAGCTCAGGCCATGATGGAAAATATACTGGGGTTATCCGTCCTTCTGGCGACAGTCTGCTCGCGATTTCTCAGTTCTACAGTTCATGATTTCTCAGTTCTACAGTTAATGATTTCTCAGTTCTACAGTTCATGATTTCTCAGTTCTACAGTTCATGATTTCTCAGTTCTACAGTTCATGATTTCTCAATTCTTGAGCTGTCGAAATCATATCTGCGTTCAACAGCGGCACTCAACACGTTGGCAAACTTATGAAAATTGGATTTTGACAGGATGTTGTCACCAGGATGTTAACGCGATCACTATGCATGCGATGGCTCACTGGCTATGATATGCAAAATATGTGAGATTTGTCAATTATTTAAACCCACGACATTTGTGGCCCATTTTGATAGGGGACGTGACATTAAATGCCGACTAGTATAGTGATATAAACTGATTTTCCATGCGCGTCAAAGGCACGAGGATTTGTGCTCCAACTCCTACATTCAATGCATTTTTAAGTCAAAATTTAGTGGCATAGATGTGAAGCTGACACTTCGTTTAAGCTACGTCAGCTCTAAAGTTGCTCCGTTCTTGCTGACGACACCCGTTTTTAACGATAGTTATATCTCACTGCAATTCTAGGAACCAGGTCGATTTCAGATACTTACCGCGATCGACATGACAGTCGGTAGAAACACGAGGGACTATCGAAATGCGCTTGGTCGGCTGAAACGGAGTTAAAGATAATAAGGTCTTAGCTGTGAGGTGAATGAACTAATTTCGAGATCCATATCTCTTTCGCGTATCCTCCCCTCTCTCAAGGCGAGGGAATTGACGACCGACCAAACCTGTTGACAGCCCTATGCTCCAAGACAAGGCAGCCGATTGAGATGGAGCATTCACCATACGATGCCACTTGGTCGATAATCTATCTATTTCGGAACATGGCGATCAGGTCAAAGGCCACCAAAAATGTCAAAAACTGAAAAGATAGGGTCGCAGAAAATCTCATTCTCCCAGCCAATCGATCAGCATAGCACTTTCGCCAATCAATGCGTCGTAGTCTGTATTTTATTCTTTCCAGAGCATGGCAGCCTTGAGTGGGGCAATGGTCACCGAAAAACGGTCAAAAACACCAAAATTAGCTGCAGACGACCGCATGCGCGAAACCTACGGCACTGACCACCATGAAACCTTAACCAATCGGTGCGCCATAGCCGATATCCCATTCTTTCTAAGACATGGCAACCTTATGTCAGGTCGGAGGTCACCAAAAGCGGCAAAAAGCACCTGAAATTAGTTTTCAGACAACCCTCTGCTCCGAGTCTACGGGGTTGATCAGCACCAAAACTTCGCCAACCGATGTATTATAGTCGATATGCCACCCTTTCTTTAATATGGTGTCTTTGAGTCAGGTGGAAGGCCCCCAAAAACGACCGAAGCCACCCGGAATTAGTTTACAGATAACCCCGTGCTCTGTATCTACGGCACCGACTGGCAACAAGCCTTCACCAATCGATGCACAATAGTCGAAATCCCATCCTTTCTACAGCGCATTGACCTTGAGTTTGGCCAAAAACATTGGCCAAAAACACCTGACATTAGTTTGCAGACATCCCCATGCCCCGAGCCCTTAAGACAGCTCGGCACCAAACATTTATAGCTCAATGTGCCATAATCAATTAACTATCCTTTCTTGAGCATGATGACCTTGCGTCGGGTCAAAGGTAACCAAAAACGGCCAAAGCCATTTGAAATAAGTTTGCAGACAACCCCATGCTCCGAGCCTGTTGGACCGATCAGCACCAAACTTTTACCGATCGATGAGCCATAATCAATATCCTATTCCTCTCCAGAACATGATGACCTTAAGTCAAGTCAAAGGTCACCAAAAACGGATAAAAACGCCAACATTGGCCGCAGACAGCCACATCCTCTGCGCCTATGACACCGACTATCATGAAACCTTCACTACTCGATGCGCCCTGCCCGATATCCTGTCCTTTCCGAAGGTGGGGCTGGTAAAGTCATGAAGCTGGTGAAGATTTCATGTTGATTGGTGCAACAGACTCGGAGCAAGAGGTTGACTGCAGCCAATTTTTGGTTTTCTTTCAAGCTTTTGGTGACCTTTGACCTGACTCAAGGCCACCATGTTCTGGAAAAGATAGGATATAGACCATGCGCATGTATTGAGAAGGGTTTTATTGTGATCGGTGTCGTATACTCGGTTCACGGGGTTGCCTGCAGCCATTTGTGGTGTTTTCAGCCGTTTTTGGTGACCTTTGACCTAAATCAAAGTTATCACGCTCTAGAAAGAATGGGATATCGACTATGGCGCATCGAGTGGTGAAGGTCGCATGGTGATCGGTGCTATAGGCTTGGAGCATGGGGTTGTCTGCAACCAAATTGGCGGGTTTTGGCCGTTTTGGTGACTTTTGACTTGATTCAGGGTCACTTTGTTCTCGAAAGAACAGATTAGTGACTATGGTACATCGATTGGGGAAGGTTTCATGGTGATTGGTGCAATAGGCTTGGAGCATCGGGCTGACTGGGGCCAATTTTGGTGGTTTCAGCCGTTTTTTGTTATTTTTACCTGACCGAAGGCCACGAATTCTGGGAAGTGTAAGATATCGACTATGGCGCATCGATTGGGTAAAGCTTGTTGCTTACCGGTCCCATAGGCTCCAAGTATGGGTTTTCAAACCACTTTCAGGTGTAACCGGTTTTCATAAACTTTGACCCAGCTCATGGTCACCATGTTCTAGATCTGATACATCATCGACTATAGCACATCGATTGCTAAGGATTTGGTGCGATCTGTTCCATAGGCTCGCAACAATGGCGCTGTCAGCAAACTAATTTGAGGTGGTTTCGACCGTTTTTTGGTGACCTTAGACCCAACTCAAGGTCTTTACGTTCTAGACAGGATGGAATATCGACCAAGACGCATCGATTGGTGAAAGTTTGGTGCTGATCGGTGCCATAGGTTCAGAGCATGGGGTTGTCTGCAAACTAACGTCAGGTGACTTTGGCCGTTTTCGTGACCTTCAACCTGATCCATGGTCGCCATGTTTTAGAAAGAGTGGGATATCGGCTATGGTGCATCGATTGGCAATATGGTGCATATTGCCAATAACCGTTGCCAATATGGTGCATATTGGCAACGGTTTCACGGTGGTCAGTGCCATAGGTTCGGAGCATGATGCTGTCTGCAGCGCCTTTTTTATGGTTTTGGGAGTTTTTGGTGACCTCCGACCTGATCCAAGGTCACAATGTTCTGGAAAGGAGAGGATGTCGGTTATGACGAATCGAACAATGCATGTTTCATGGTGATCGTTGCCATAGGCTCGGAGCATGGGGTTATCTTTAGTCAATTTCGGTGGCCTTTGACCTCACTCAAGGCTGCCATGTTCTGGAAGATATGGATATCGACTATGGCGCATCAGTTGGTGAGAGTTTCACGGTGACTGGTACCACAGGTGAGGAGCATGGTTTGTCTACAACCCTATTATTTCGTTTTTTGGTGACCTTTGACCTGGCCCAAGGTCACCATGTTCTGGAAAGGGTGGGCTTTCGACTAAGCGGCATCGAATGGTGAAGGTTTCATGTCAATCGATTCCGTGTCTCAGAGCATGAGGCTGTCAACAGGTTTGGTTGGTCGTTTAGTCCCTCCCTTTTCAAGGGCTCCTCTGCGTAACACTCCAGCAAGACTGTCATGGTATTTGCCTTCAACGTGAACTCATCTAGGGTTCAGGAGCAGTCTTTAAACATGCTCAGCATGGCTGGGTGTGGCAAACAGAGGAAATGGAACCTTGAACTCCGTGGCATGTGCCCACCAGGCATCCCAATGCACAGGAAACGCACTTCTCGTGTGTTCCAGCTTATTAGGTTTTAAATCTTGCGTATCAGGCTGTTACAGGGACTGCCCAGCGTTTGAACTCTGTCCGTCCGTTTGTATGATTACCACTGCGTAAAGAACAAACGCTGTGAAACGAGGCCGAATCAGTGAAGGCGCATCGCGTGTACAAACAACCCGCCAAGTCCATTACTTCTAATTTTGCAGCTACCCTGGTCATGGTTTATGTTCGCAGATACAAAGATAAACCTTCAGCCTTGGACCCCAACTTTGCGTACGCCATGTGGGTTCAGGATGCGTGCAACAATCTGATCTGGGCACATCTGGATGTATTGTTCCCTGCATCTCGAAACCCACGTGGCATGTGTAAAGTTGGGTTCCCCGGCTGGCGTTTATTTTTGTGTCAGCAAAATCACGCCATGGCCAGCAAAAGCCACTAAATCAGAAGACATACACTTACTTGCCGGACTATTTGTACACGCGACACCGCCTCCACTGAGGCCCTCAGCACTGCATGCGATTAGCGGCCGAGCCGATCTGATGGCGTGGTGCGAGAAAACCCAACCTTTGCATCATGCCAGGTCTCGTTGTCGCCCCCCCCCCCCCCCACTTGACCTTGCTCTGTGGACTCAGCTCTATCAGCAAGTGCAGTGTGGACCGTAGGGCCGCTATCAGCCGTCCCCGCGTCGCCCATGACAGACGTAAACAAGGAGGGTGGCTGCTGTAAGAAGGTGTATTTGTCGCGTTCCGTAGCCGGAGCTCACCCTCTCACCTCTCACACGCGTCGGTAGCTCTACGCCGGCGCGCCGCACAGCGTCGCGCGATACGCGCCGGCCGACCGGCGCAGCAGCGCCACTACTCTACTGCCACACACACGGACGCTTCAGCGCCGTCCATTCGCTCCGTAGGCAGCCATCAGCCGGCGGGCGCCCCCCTGGCGGAGACGGCCCGCCGTCCGCCGCTGCGCCGCGGCGAGTCTGCAGGCGCAGAGCCCGCACGTGGCCGAGCGCCACCGCAGAGGCGGCGTCCCTCCAAGACACAATCGGGTACAAAAGCTGATCCTGACGAGTGGGCGTCGACCGCGCCCACCGGCCTATGTCTATAGAAGTCACACCGAGCGTGCCCAGCGGTCTGCGCCACGGGCAGCCGCTTCGGCTCACCAGACGCCGGCGCCGAGCTGTTCCTCGCGCTCCTGGCCTCACGTTCCCTGGGCCTCGCAACGCGCGCACCCGTCCCCGCGTCCTTCGCCAGTCCACGCAAACGTCCGTCCCCCGCGCCCTCACTCGGTAGGCGCGCGCGTCCATCCAACAAGATCACAACCCGCATGGAAGGCCCACGGGACACGCCTCCCGCTGCCAAGTCGACCTCGAGCGTGCGGTAGACCCGGTCGGCCCATGCCCCTCCCGCCCACGGCACACCCTGGGCGCCAAGCTCGGACACTCGCACACGCAATATTAATCAAATCGATCCAACGGGTGAAAATATCATTTATAATAACCATGTATATGCATATGTCTTAATGTACATCTCGGAGCGCAGGGCAGGCACTTTCGGCGACGCGTGCGTTCTCTCTCTCTCGCAGCACGTGAAGCGTCTCTCGGCGCGTTCGGCAGCGTTCGGTTCGCTCGCCCCCGTTCCGTGCGTGACAGCACCTCCATCACTCACAAAGCACAGTTCAGCCGCTGCCTCCGGCCCGCCGCCGTCACATAATCAAGCTGGAAGCGTGCAGACCGCCGCGGCGCCTCCGCCGGGATCTCCGGCCGTCGTGTGAAGTCACGGTGACGTCACACCTTGGGGTTGAGCGAGGACGGCACGCGCAGCAGCTGCAGGCTGCTGTTGTTGTAGAAGTTGGGCGCCGAGGCCGCCGCCGGCATTGTGTGCGCCTCCTCGTAGAAGTCGGCGTCCTCGGCCGGCTCCATCTCGCCATCGCCGTCCAGCTGTCGACCGGGATCAGCCCGGATTAGATGGCATCAGATCAGTTCGGTTCAAATCAGGTCAGGCCCAGCCCGGGCCAGACTGGGTCAGATCAGGTCAGCTTAGACAACGCCAAGTTCGGTCACTTGGGTCACGTCAGCTCGAGTCATGTCAGGTTGGGGTGGGTCTTCAGCTCAGGTCGGGTCAGACCAGGTTGGGTAAGGTCCAGTCAAGGTCAGGCCAGGGTGAGCGGGCAGTCTGGCGCCGCAAACTTGTGAGAGAAAAGAGCATGGACGTGCACATGCGAGATGTATAAATATGTTATGTGCCTAACAAAATTTGCGTTTACGTGCGCCATATGTCATGTGCGTCATAAGCACATCGCCGCCTCTCATTATGCTCATTATGCAAATAATTCGTCACTTCTTAATGTCATGCAACGTAATTTTTCTTAGTGTAGCTAAAAACGCGGTTTTCATCACTGCTACGACTCGAATAATCTAAGGTCTATACACGCGGCCTCGATCGTGGGGCACGTTCGCTTGGCGCCTGATGCTCCCCCTCCTCCCCGGAAAGTGCGCCAGTCCTAGGGTGGGGGGGGGGGGGCGTCCTCCACTCACCGCACACAGTTCCACGGGCGTGAACAGCCTGGGAAGCACGACCAGCCGCAGCGGGATCAGCAGCGCCAGGAAGAAGGGGAAGCCGATGGCGGCCGGCGTAAACTTGATGCCCAGCAGACCGCCCAGGCAGGCCAGCTGGATAACCGTGAACAGATGCATGCGCCACGTGCGAACCTGGCGGACGGAAGGGGAAACACGGTGTCAGCAGCTGATTGGGCGGACATAGCCAGTCTGATCCATCTTTCCGGTTGAGTGCGTTGTCTGGCAAGCAGGTGAGTCACCGGTTTTTTCTTACGTCTGAATATTTGGCTCCCAAATGTCATATACTCTCACTGCATGTTTCTGAAATATGAATACTTCCCCAAACGGTGCGCAATAATCCCGAAATATGCGCATGTTTTCCCAAGTTCTCAACAACGGTTCACTGCCGTTATTCTTGCCTTGATCCCAATGGCATATTTCTAAATAGGTCCATCTCGCAACTGAACCAGCTTAGAAGACGCCCCTTATTAGAATCCCAGTTCTAAACGCCCCGCATCGGCAAGCGTCGAGCAGTGCTGAATCGCCGCGCCACGCCAAAGTCGATCCTCACCCGCTTCACGTAGTTCTCGTCTGGATGGTGCTTGACCGGCTTGAGGAAGAGCACACAGCGCTCCAGCATCTGCACGCCCGACATGGACGACACGCCCATGTACATGAACACGCCGAACACCACGGCCACCGGGATCATGCCCAGCACGGCCGACAGCGCCACCGACAGGCCCAGCAGGATGGAGACGAGGAGCGCCGACAGCCGCTGCTCGTAAACGCCGATCATCTTGGGCTTCTCGCCGGGCGCGTACGTGGAGGACATGACGGTGAGCGCGGCGGCGTGGCTGACGCTGCGGATGGTGGCGGCGCACATCCAGGGCGCGCCGATCAGCGCCGACATCAGGTTTATCAGCGAGATCAGCACGATATCGACGTGGAAGCCGGTGCCCTTCTGCAAGTTGCGCTCGGGCTTGGCCATGATCAGCTCGCACACCATCGTCTCCATGTAGATGACGATGAAGATGAGGCCGGCAGCGGGCAGCGCGCCGACGATCGCCACCCACGAGGTGCCCTGGCGCAGGCCGAGAGGCGAGATGAACCAGCCGCGCAGGTCCGGATCGGACGGCGTCAGGCCGGACGGCACCTCCAGCCGCTGGGTGAACACCTGCCGGAGCAGCGGTGGACGCAAGCGTCAGGCAGGGAGGCGTCGGCACAGACGGGCTCGGTCAGATGGCTGCCGCCGTCTCCGGACAGGCAGAGGTTCAGTTCAGGTGGCTGCCGCGGTCCCCGAGCAGTCCGGACAGGGGTGCGGGCCAGATGGCTGCTGCGGCCTCCAAACGGCCTGGACGGAGATGTCGGCCAGATGGGTCCTGTGGTCTCCAGAGGCTTAGAAAGGGTACCAACCAGCGCCGGGAACACAAGGGACGCTTCCTTGGGATAAATGGGACAGTTATGGGCGTGCCGGCTGCAGCGTCAGTGATGTTTGCACGTGCAACCGCCATCCGACGGCAACACGCACACGAGACCGTCGTGGCTGCAGCCAGTTGGGCCCGTGACAGCACAACGACGTGACTTCACTGTCAGCAGGTGACCAGCGCCACCTTCCGGCGCCAAGCCCGAAGCGACCCATTCACGGAGCCCCCCGTTCACTGTGGCCGACGCCAGAGCCCGCCCTCCCCTGCGCCCGAGCCGGGGCTGGACCCGGGCCGGTGACGCCGCCACCCACCTGCGGGATCAGCATGTCGGCGCCGACCATCAGCAGAATGGCGATGGGCACGCCGAAGTCACCCAGCATGCGACGCACGCGCCGGCCCAGAAACTTGCTGTTGCGGAAGAAGCGCAGGTACTGGGCGATGGCGAACGTGCCGAACATGAGCAGCAGCGAGAGGAGCGCCGTGTTCGGCTGGTTCTTGGGAGCGGTGAGCGGGGCGTCCAGTAGCGGCGCTGAGCCGTTGCTCCTGCGGACGGGGAACGGATGGTCTGTCAGCGGCGGCCGGCGCCGAGTCCGGAGGCGACCACAGCAGCCACGAGCGTCCAGAGGGGTTCACATGTGCCAAGTACGGTTTGCGACGCATGCTGATGGTCCGGTCAGGTAGAATGAAGCGATCTAATCAAGTCGATTTAAGCTGGTCAGATTGGGCTAACTGGTGTCCGAGTACGTAACACAGATCGCTCATGCCAGTTCGTGGGCGCTATGGTATCACACAAGCATGTCATGCAGCAGTGCTCAAATAACTTCGTGCATGTGCCGGGCGGCAACGCACCATTCGGTCCGCTCCGAGCCGTCGAGCGGAGCCGAGCTGTTGAGCTGGGTGGTGCCGTTCTCCGGCTCGGTGCTCTCCAGCCCCGGCACGATCAGAGACAGCGAGCGCAGGAACAGCGGGTCAGCGCAGTAGTTGGCCAGCAGCGGATGGTTGATGAAGACCTGGCGACGGCGGTCCGACACGTCAGCTGGCAGCTGCAGCCGCGCCGCACGGACTCGGTGCCCACCCGGCAGCTGCGGCCGCTCGGCACGGACTCAGCGCCCGACCTCGGATCAGCTGCTGACTCTAGCCGAGGTGTATCGACGTCAGCCAATGGCCGTTCCTGGACCAAGTAAATCGCCGACTCAAAAGACCATAAGTGAAGTCAGCGTATGACTCGGCCTGGTCTCACCTCACAGCACTGGCAAAACGAATACCTTGCCGTCAGGGTGACGAGCAGTGCACGCACCGTAGCAAGCTTGGCCAGCGACTCGAAGATGAAGAGGATCGAAATGAGCGACGAGAAGATCTCGGTGGTGAAGCGGGTGAACTTCTTGACGAGCACGGAACCCTCCAGACCGACCAGGATCAGGCTGATGACCAGCATCCAGATGGCGATCCAGACCCGCATCGGCAGGAACTCGAGCCCGTTCGATTCGGCGAACTGCGGCGTCGCGGCGGGACCGGTCAGACGGATGACACTCGCCGAGCGATCGTTATAAGTGGCCAGATGATCGGAACGGGGTGCGGCCTAGCTGAGGTCGAGATGGCACAGGCTCTGTTGAGCAACGGTGACAGGGCAATGACATACGAAATTATTGGCAATGCGCCACACTGCCTAACGTCCGGCAAGCGCGCCGCCGTTCGAGGTCACGGAAAGCACAGTCAGCGTTGATGCAGCTTTCCTCGGAGCGGCAGCCAGTTGGCCGCCCCAAGCCCGTGCGCCCATGCCTCAGACCTGGAAGAGCGCCTCGTCGAAGAGGAGCACCGGCCCGGTCGTGCCAATGATGATGAGCGGCTGGCAAGACAGGAGCGCGAAGACGATTCCCGCAATGGAGGTGGAGATGAGCGTCTCCGAGATGCCGATCTGCAGCTCGGTCTTGTCCACTGAAACGGGGCGTCACGCGTGACTCCGGCTGTCGTCACGGCCGTGGGCGGGGCGGCACACTCCCGCTTGTCCATTGTAACGGGGCGTCACGCGTGACTCCGGCTGTCGTTACGGCCGTGGGCGGGGCGGCACACTCCCGCTTGGACGGATGTTCCAGGGTGCCGGACATCGGATGGGATGGGAATTACGTAACAGGAGTCGCAGTCTAAGTCAACGCATCCGGTCAAACACCCCGTTGGGCGGTGAGTGAGGCATGGAGGGAGACTTACTAGCCCGGCTCAGTGCCATCGGTCCCGTAAGGTGACGAACTCATAAGACCACGATTTCTCGCATTCCGCTGGGCTCCTCGCCCGCCAGCGGCAGGGCGGGGAGCACGTGCTCCCGCCGGGGGAGGAGGGATGGGGAGGGGAGCTCCTTGGCGGCCGATGGAGGAGGCTGGACCGCAGCTTGCGCCCGCGTCACTCACTCATCAGGCCGCCGAACGTGATGGCGCCGGCCAGCGCCGCGAAGAAGATGAAGAATGCCGCTGAGAGGACGGCGCCGCTCAAGCCGTCCTTGAAGTCGGACAGATAGAACGGATACCTGCCGGCGTCGGCCACGGTCAGCGTGAGCTAAGGGCGGGAAGACAGGCAGGTCATCTGGACGCAGGTAGTGACATTGCCGCTGGCTGAGGCCGGAGTGGCGGCTGAACGCCGGGGGAACCCCGCTCAGGCGGGGTTTGTGCAATGCTATTGTGTCACGTGTCAATGTGTGCGTTATGTGTCATTACAGTGCGCTAACGGCCTTTCAAGGCACACCTTTGTATCAAAAACATAACCTTAGAAGGAAACGAAAAAGCTTTAGATGTAAGTTATATATAGCTAAGTGTCTACAGATGGTTTATCGTGTGACTACCCGTACTCGTAATTGTCCACCTCTTCAAGTACTCGTGTTCCACCTCTATCCGACCATCCTCAAATACTGTAATACAGCCTTACGTTTAAAACCCACGCGTGTGATCTCACCTGTGGTCCTACCGGCTCTAGAAAATTACGCACAGTTACATGAAATTACCACAAATAAAGCTCTGAAGAGCATCAGCCAAGCAAGCATGTCCAGCACCTGGCACACATCCCTGTAGTTTCAGCCAGTGTCTTGCCGAGAGTCGAGTCAAGCGGCGTCACGCACCAGGTCAGTGTAGACAAACGGGCACCAGTTCCCCATCGTCAGATCGCGCCCGGCCCTCTCGCCACTCACCTCCGCTTGATGTCACGGATGAAGCCGGCAAACGGCCGGCCCTGGCGCACCAGCGGGTCGTCCACCAACTCGAGCTTCTCCTTGTCGCCGGGAGGTGGCGGGCCGCCGTCACCGGCCGCGCCGCCGTCGCCAGCGGGTCCCGATGCGCCCCAGGCGCCGGATGTCGAACCCTCGCGACGCCGCTCCAGCAGCGCCAGCTTTTCCCGCTTACGCTCCTGAATCTCGCGCGAGCGCAACTGCAGCTCGTGTACGTCCAGCACGTCCGGGTTGGCGGTCCAGTCGATAGGTGGAAGCACCAGCGTGTCGTCCAGGAACTCCTTGAAGGCCCACATCAGGTCGTTGCGGCCCTCGGCCTTGTAGGCCGCCTCGTGGAAGGCCTGAGGACGGAGAAAGCTGCGATCACGGATAGATGCTGGAACACGCGTCACATGTACCGACCGCATTGAACGCAAGTAAGTCGAGAAACGAACCACACACACGCATTTACGTCTTACGCGTGCAGAGACCAGAATCATGTTTAAATACTTGACAACCGACGGCTGTGCCTCAAATATCCCGTCAAACCGCTCAAAGAACATTTCACTTTTACTAGCTGGTGGACATGCCCCAACGGGCGCCGCAAACTTCCCGGCAAATCTAGTTCTCTCTAAAGCCGTCCATCTGTAGAGTGTGTCACGGCTGGTCACGTCTCGGCGGCCCGACTCAGCCTGCGGTCTGCCTGGCGAGGCGGCCAGGACTGGTCCAGACTGGTCCGGATCCGGTGGCTCTCACTGGTCCTGGCTCTCACCGGGCTGGACATGAGCGTGGCGAAGGCGCGGCCCGTCTCGTTGTAGTCCTCGAACGCGTCGTGCGGCCCCACCAGGAAGAAGATGAAACGAACGGGCAGTGGCATCTGGCGACACGAGGCGGCGGTGTCGGCCGACGGAGACAACGCTCGGAACATTGACAGTCTGGGGCGGGACGCACCACAAAGTTCGCACGATCGCCACTGTCCACCGGGTCAAACACGCCGCAGGTGGCTACAGTGACGCCTGCACAACATCAGCACACGCTGAGAAAAGCACCGGCTTCACGACCAAGGACTGAAGCCAAAGCTTCAGTGACGTCATTACTCCTCTTCACGAGCCCAACGCCGTCAATATCATGGCGCTGTCAGACCGGAACGCCTGTGATGACTGGATGCACCTGTGGGGATGTGCTGCGCCGCCCATAGCAGACCACCAGGCCTCGTCCACACAACGTAAGCGAGGCGCAAGTTACGAGGGACGCGATGCAAGTTGCGAACGATGCGATCCATCGTTCGTGATGACCTATGAACGTTGTAACACAGCTTACCCGCGATAACCCGGTATGTTTCATTGCTGATAACCTGGTATGTTCCATGTGTGACTCATCCACTGTAGCTCAAAACATTTGACCATTGTATGTGGCCCAGCCCATCCCCAATCCCGTGAATTAAATATATCTCTCTGTCCCCAAGCTTCCACAGCGATCTCGTACCTGCGTACTCTCCGCGATCCTGTCCTGACCGTCGCGACCCAACGCTTCCCTCCCCCCCCCCCCCCCCCGTCACCTTTCGCGAGCCGTCGCTAACCTCTGTGATGCCCGGCAGGTAGGTGCCCTCCGCCAGGCGGACGAAGGCAGCCACCGGGCCCTCGGCGAAGTCGACGCGGCCCACGTTAACGCTGAAGGCCTCGGTGCCGGGCGCCAGGCGGCGCAGGATGTTGTGGTGCGCCATGAAGCGGCGCAGGTCCTCGTTGCTGGTGATGCTCTCGCCACCGATCTGCGCGACCGAGGGACCCGTCAGTGGCGCGGCACGGGCACGCCGTTTTCAAAGATGAACTTAACCGACTACGCTGCAGAGGTCGCTTTGATGCTTCAATAGCTGCCGAGCGTGAGTTGTTTGGAGGACCCAGGCACCATGCCTCAAGAACAGTGACCACAGTTTAATGGGCGTACGTGGCCCAAAAGATTTGGACGTGCCACCGGCAAGGTAGAACACGGCGGCGTCTTCTTCAGTCCGATTTTCTCGGCCAGTTATCAACTGACCGCCAAAAAACGGCCATGTGAGGGCGTCGAGGGACGCCATTCTTCGCGTCCGCCCCACACGGGTGCTCCGCCCGACCACTGGCCGTCGAGGAGGCGCGAACGCGAGCAGGGCGGTGGACGGACAGCGGGAAAGGAATCAGGCGATACTCGGCCCCGCGCCGTGATAGGTGACGACAGAGCAGAGGGCTTTGGAAGCAGAGCAAGGCACAAGTGCACAGCTATCAATAAGGCCAGGGAGACTGACGAGGCAAGGGCTCTACTGTGGACCATTCAAACATGGAAACCATGGTTTAAGGCTCACAGTCCACCCTTCTGACCATCACTACCTGTCCAAATTAATACAACAAGGGAGGTGTTATTGCATCACCAATCACTAGAAAACATGCAGCCGAAAATCGTCTCACTCATCACACATAGTATTCACCTCCACTGCAGCTATCAGAGTGATAAACGAAACCTTGAGTGGACATATATATATATATATATATATATATATATATATATATATATACTTATATATATATATATACATATGCATACATATGTATATATATATATATATATATATATATATATATATATATATATACATAAAGCAACGATTGATGGAGACTGGGCAGATTAGTGAAAGGTGCGCGTGCGTAGACTATGGCAAAATGAGTGGGCAAAGATTATGCAGTCCTGGCATGCGATCACTTACATAGGTCTAAAAACCTAGAATCGGAACACTCGGAAAGTATCCACACAGCGCACATGCATAAGATATAGGTGACAAAGACGCTCACGACAAAATACGCCTACAGCGAGGCAGGAAAGCACGTCAAACAAATCAAGTTAAAAGGACAAATGGCGGAACGCAATGGCTATTTACAAAGCAGTCACACAGAGAACGGCCAAGTACGTTACGTTGTTGAGCGGTCGCGGTCTGCCAGGGTGGTATTTGAGCTGGAACCAGTGAGGTGTCACTGCCGACTGACGCGCTCACAGGCGGGCACATCACCAGGCACGTGCGCATGGGCTCCGCACCATCACCAAGCGACCGAGCACGCGGCAGACAGGCGATACAACGGAGCCAGTCCAGTCGCAATTTCATACGGCGCACAACACCGAGTCGTGATGGGCGGGGTGGTTCGGGATGGGGGTGAGGGTGGGGAAGAGCAAGCCCATGCGCGGGCAAGCTGGGGCGCGGGGAGAGATGCGAATCATTGCCGGGCCGTGGCACGTTGACAAGGCCTGACGGACGGACGCACGCGCACAAACACAGAGTGCCACTTTACCTCCTGGGGCGATTTGAACTGTGAAAAGATGGCCGGGGCTTAGTCCCACGCCTGTTCCATGCGTCATATGCTACGAGCCAAAGGGAAGGCATACAAATACATACATATCGGTAACATATGCATTTAATGACCGCATATTGTTACCGCACATTACCAGAGTCAGCAGGCTGATGACAACCATGGGAATGGCACAAGTGTAATCATGGAGAAACGGCGACGTACATGTTCCAGCTTACCCTGGCTGTTATATCCATCACAGAAACCCCTGAAACTGCCTGCTGTCCGGTTTTGGCTGTAGAATGTCCCTTTGGCTTAAGCCAAAGAACAGTGCCTGTGTTATGGCTTACTGCACTCCTTAGACAGTTAATCTGTTCCCTGTAAGAGCGCAGCAAGTACATCGCGTGACTCATCTGACCCCTCAGTGGGGCGGTGCCAGACGTCCACGGTCCCTGCGGTCTGACCTGCCGCCGGCACCGGGGTCGGCCGCGGGGCGGCGCTAGCAACGCTGGCGCTACTCACCGAGTTGTGGCGCGGGATCTGGCCGTGCGACGAGGACATGACCGACAGCGAGTTCTTGCGCGACTTGTCCTTGCCGGCGTCCGAGAGCGACCGCGCCGAGCTGTTGTTGCGCATGTCGGCCAGGCTCTGCGGGGCGCCGGGCGCCGTGAGCACGGATCGCCTCAGGCATGACAGCGGCCACACAGTGGAAGGGTGCTTCCTTTCACAGGATTCGCCTCCACCCAGCGAACTGTTCACCGGGAGCGAATATATTCGCCAAGCACGTATACTAATACACATGTTATGTTTTCGATCACAAACAGGGAAAAAACCGAAATAATACGGGGGCACAATGTCCATGACTTGCTTGAATCGACGAGCAGTGCTTGCTTCATGGTTTACCGTGCTCCTTAGTCATTAAATAAAACCACCCTGATGTCCGTTACGGACGCACTGAGCTGAAGATTGTCCAGTGGTAAGCTGGCGCTTCCCTGTTTATAGCCTAATCTTACCGGTCCAAAAACTCCTCCAGATCAGTCTTACGTTTAATCGATCGCGCCCACATAGCATTGGCCTGAATGCGCGCTCAAACCCAAACGGAATAACAAACACGGTATCGGGCGCCCCTGGTGCGATGGCCGGCCGCCGTCGCCGCCTTCTCCACACCTGGAGCGTGATGCGGGAGAGGTTGCGGTTGCTCATGTAGTTGCGCAAGCCTCGCGCGGTGTGGTCGGCCACGTTCTGGCGGCGCAGCAGCAGCGTACGCATGACGGCGCCGAAGTCCTGCTGCTTGATGTGGTCGTCGCTGACCAGCTGGGTGGTGATCCGGTGACTGATGGCCACCGAGTCGTGCTCCTCCACGTCCAGCAGGATCGTGCCTGCAAGCCCCAGTGCGGTGTCACTGGGACGGGACGGCGTCACTGCGGCGGCGGCGGCAGCGGCGCCTCGAGAGTGTGATGACGTCGGTGCGGGGAGGCCACCGGTCTGGATTGGGGTGGGGGGGGGGGGCGCTCGGAAAGGTGCCCGTGAGTTCTATTTGACGGGAGATGAATATGAGGTGAACGGATGTTACGACTTCGCTCCCGAAAAGAATTTACAGACTCTTAAATACTTTCAGGAAATCAATGCAATAAATTAATCAGGCGCTGCCACATTGTACGTAGGTGTGCACTCCCCAGTATATGGAAGAAACGAATGACAAAACAATTTTCGAGACCAAAGGCGACTTAAAGAAACTACGGGAACGTCACCATCGGACACGGTCGTTCAATTATAGACACAAACATGTGTTTTAAGAAGATCAAGGGCACCAGAGTAATGCTGTATTTTGAGGAGGTGGGAGACGCATTGCTAAATCGCGCACCGGAAATTTATCCACCATGGAATCAGAGCAGGAAAACCAATGTTAAGCAGTGAGCACCACACAATCCTGGAAACTGTGCTCTCGCTTTCATTGCCGAACACAGCCAAGTTGCCAAGTTTCCTCGATATGCGATTTTCGATCCGGCCCACTGCTGCAGACCCGCAGAGGACCGCTAAAAGATCACACCCAGCACATGCGGGACCTTTCCACGCGACTTGCACCCTGACCCCGACCGTGGACGGCCGGCGGGACGGCCCTCCACCGACTGAGCGTGACACCCTGGCCGTCCCAGCCGGTCCGGTCTGGTCGGGTCCGCCGCCGGCGGGGGCATCCCCGAACCTGCCCAGATGTCAACAATAGGGGAGTGGTGGTCATGGCTGCGTGTCAGAACGTGCTGCAAGCCTGTACCCCACACAAAGTGTGCGTGGGGTGGCCAAAACGTCAGACTGGCGTGTGACTTGTGAGTTCTTATTCCGGAAATAATCAGCCTTCAAGATGTCAGGAGACGTTGACTAAACAACGTTACCGAGCAGGCGTTGGCTATGCTGACAACGCTCGTTGTTTTAAGCAGTGCTCATGCTCACGGAGGACTTTGAACACAGCTTGAGACGTCGAGTTTTGTCAATACAGTTAAAACTCACTGGATCATTAATGGCCGATTATCATCGTAATACGGACTCTCAATTCATGTCGGAAACCAGAAGTTCAAGGCTTTTCTTGCTTAACCCAAATATCGGACGGCTTTCAACCGTGCGGTAAAATTTGATACGGCACAAATTGGTATGATGATTATGAGGGACATTTAAACATAAGCAATACCGAGTGTGTTCTTGTCTGTGACCATTATCATGAGCAGCGCTTTCGTCGCTTAGCTGTACAGATTATTTGGCTCGTATATCGATAACGCTAATCCAAGTCATTAAGAGGCGGCTTAGGTTTGATTCATTCGCACACATGGCCCATGCTGTCAGGGCTTCAATAAAGGACGTCATATTAATCTTATTCGAAAACCCAACTATTCTTTACACAGGCGACTTAATGCAGCACAACATTAAAAAAGGTGATGGTTTGAAAGTGCTGATATATTTTACCGATTCCACGACTATTTTGACCAAGAGTGTTCAGGAATGCCTATCGTAGATCAAGTTTGCGTTCGCTGCGGTGGTTTTGTGTGACTCGATCCCTCTCGACATTTTTGCTCCGTTATCTCGGCGTGGGGTGGCAACCTACGCCCAGTTTTGTTCCTTTCAAGGAGTCGGTCCATCGCCCTCACCCTTCTCGAGGCAGCGGCGCAGGTTCATGAGGCTCTGGAAGGACAGCGAGGTAAGATGGGGCTTGCCCCAACGGTCGGCGCCCGGCTCAACGTCCTCCTCGTACTTGATCCAGCGAGCCGTCTCCTGCCATTCGGATTCGTTCTCGGTCGCAGTCAGCTCGTCCATCTGCACGTACATCTGTAGGCCGAGGAGAGAACTTCAGCTTTGATTTTAATTGATAGATGGCTCTTGCGCAGCGTGAGGATTCTTAAGGCTTCGACCCCATGTGCGCACATCCGGTGTTTTTGGCAAGGGATATTCGTGACGTCACGCACTGGAATGGAGGGGACATCCTCATGAATCACGACTATAACGTGCAGCTAGTATTCGGCGAAGGCGGAATTTCTAAGAATACCAAGGAGGTAACTGCCTGCAGAAAAGAGTACCAAAGACGGTACACCAAAACATCAGAGGGGTTAAACCAATATGACACAGGGCATGCCACTCTATGACGTATGGGCCGAAAACACACAGTCATTCCATCCGACCTAAAAAATTTCCAGCGCTGAATGCATCTCGAACAAGTCCGACCATGTCTTCAGTCAGAGCCAATGGGAATCCTCCGGACGAGTGACGTCAGGTCACGTCACAGCGGGCCCCGCCGCGCAGCGGCCCGATGATGACTCATCACATTCCTTCACACTAATGCCGCCGGCACCCTCTCCCCGCCCGGAGCACTGGGGAGCAGCCCTGTTCCCCTCCTCAGGGGCGCCACCAGCTTACGTCATGGGGCGTGTGGTCGAACTCCTTCTTGCCCAGCAGCAGGGTCTGGCCCGTGTTGATGTCACCGAGGTGCACCACGTTCATGATATTGCGGTCCTCCTTCTTTTTGACCTTGTGACGCCGGTGGCCGGCCTCCTCGAAACGGTGGCCTGAGGGCACGTGACATTGGGCCCGGTTAAACACTGATCAGACCGGACTGAGCGATTACACAAATCACGCCAGCATTTCAGCACGTGTGGTTAGACACCCAGCGATCGAATGTCAGCGGTTTTAATCAATATACCTGATGACGTTTGCTTACTTCCGATCACACCTTATTCGGAACTTTCATAGCGCGTGGCATGGCGACATTCTACCGCAGATTTGTGTCACGTGCCACCTGAAGCCAATCTGGCATAACAAACTCGGATCATTTTTTGACACGTCGTGTCAGCAATCGACGACATAGATTGCTATCAAACGAACAATGTGTACGCATACCAGTCTTATCTCCCGTGTTTATTGTCGAAGTGTATTTGCCACCCATGCGGTCCGATGTCCCGAGTTAATCTGCGAACGGTGTGTGCATAACCGTCGCCCCACCATCCACTTCTGACTGTTTACGCACTCGGTCCATCAGATCCGAGTACATGCTCGGTGCTCGTGACCAGATGCCAGTCAGATTATTGCGCGTCCCCGTTCTCACTCTCATCCGCCTTGGTGGTGATGCGACCCATTTCCGACCATGTGCGGACGCATTCATTTGCCGAATGTTCTCAGATGCGCTGAAGCACATCCAGTTCACTGACGGAAGATCCGCCCACCGGAATCAGCCTCTGCGCCCCGTGTCCCTGTACCCTTCCCCTCTGCTGTGCACCCCACCGCCCTATGCTGGCCGAATCTCGCCCCCTGTCCGTGCCCGCTCCCAGACCGGCAGCACTGACTGGATATGTCGTCCAGATGGCCGGAGGCGTCTTCGTCATCGAGCGGACCGTGGCCGGTGGAAGTGCGCCGCGGCCGCCGCTCCGAGCCCGGCACCCGCCGGCCGGCCGGGTCCTCCACGTGTCGGTGGCGGCGGTGCTTGCGCTCCCGGTGGCCGGGCGAGGCGGTCGCCGCGCCCGCCTCCTCCTCCTCCTCGCCGGGGTCTTGACCTGCGGGCGGCGTGCGGCCTGATCGGCGCGCGGACTTTAGCTCGGGCCGAGGCGGGGCACGCTCGCTCACCAGGGAGACAGACACGACGACAAAAAGCACGTGCAGCTAGTGCAGTGTGAGAGACAAAGACGTGACACGTTGGCTGTTGAGCAACACAGTCAGGTAAGCGTTACTTTGCAGTGCGGACAACTGACAAGAGCGAAAAAGGACGGACGAACGGAAAACATAGCGAACGCGGTAGCACACTTTTTAATTCAATTGCTTGCATTATGCGATGGAAAAGTCCGATTTTAGGCTATTCTCTGAGTGCAGGCTGTCACTTGGCCCTGCTTGTTAAACCATTCCAGAAAGTAGACCATTTTCTTCTCTGTGAGATGTACCATGCCAAAGAGCTGCGCCCTTTTATGTAACGCCTGCAAACGGTCCGCCTAATGTCTCTCACAGGAGCGCAGCGAATAAAGAAACATGTCACCAAACAGGGCCGTGACCGGGGCCTGCGCGTCACAGAAAAGCGCGTGAACATTTCAGAGCGCCTTATGAAATCCGAAGCAGGTGATGTCATAATGCATTGCTAAATCAGACGGGACACAAGCGGGGAAGCAGCGTGCCTCGACGTTGCATTAATGTCTTCGCGATTGCATCAGGGAAACGAACGCGCAGGGGAAGACGCATTCTATGACCCGTGCAAGCACTTGCGGAAGCCACAGGACACTCAACACATTGCAGGACAAGTCCCCAGTCTTGCATCACGTCCGTGGCACGCATGACGAAACCGTGCGAGCAAACCCGGCGGCCCGACCAAGCTGATGGATGCGGTTCGCACAGAAGCATGTCCTCACGCGGCGTGGGTAAATCATGCCACGCTCCGCGCTTGAGAGAGGACTAAGAACAGGGCGGACGAACCGCAGGGGCCCGAACCCTCGTCGTTCGGCCGTCTGTCCTGCGGCCGCGCGGAACCATCGCCTACGTACCGACTTCGAATTGGACGCGGCTGTCTTTGTCGTCGGCGTCGGGCGCGTAGGCGCCGCGGCCGTCCACCTGGGGCGCCTCGTCCGTGACAACGAGAGTCGGCACCTGGCGGGGCTGCCCACTGCCGAGGGAGGACGGCCAGCCGGTCACACACGGCCGGGGCAGGTCACGCAGGTCACAGGTCACGGACCACGCACCGGGGCGACCATAAGCGGGGCGCAGACAGAGTGGTCCTATTGGGGCTTACATGCCGTGGACCGCACAACCAGTCATCAGGTTAACGTCTGAGCGTAAGCCACGATGCCAGAGGACACCATCACTTTGTCGGATAAATTAGTGATGGGCTCCCATCGGGGGGCTGGATCCGCACTGGGGCCATAACCATATCCATGCTCGCTGCGCATGCCAGGATATGTATCATTTGGATATTCTGACTTGCCCAATGAACATGGAGATATCACTTGGAAACGATGGGGCATGGCTAAAGATAGCGGCCTGCAGAAAAATGGCTCTGATCACTCGCCATGCAGCGGAAAGCGTCAGACGCTTTTACTCCTCGTCTGGCATCAGGCAGTTGGTCAAAAACTGACTTTGTGGGTGACACAGAATTCCAATAAAATTTATAGAACGCCGGCTATATATATATATATATATATATATATATATATATATATATATATATATGCGTGTGCGCGTGCGCGTGCGCGTGCGTGTGCGTGTGCGTGTGCGCGTGCGTGCGTGCGTGCGTGCGTGCGTGCGTGCGTGCGTGCGTGTGTGTGTGCGTGTGTGCGTGCGTGCGTGCTGTGCGTGCGTGCGTGCGTGCGTGCGTGCGTGCGTGCGTGCGTGCGTGCGTGCGTGCGTGCGTGCGTGCGTGCGTGCGTGCGTGCGTGCGTGCGTGTGTGTGTGTGTGTGTGTGTGTGTGTGTGTGTGTGTGTGTGTGTGTGTGTGTGTGTGTGTGTGTGTGTGTGTGTGTGTGTGTGTGTGTGTGTGTGTGTGTGTGTGTGTGTGAAATTGATAATATTAATCATATCAATATAACTAATGACGCGACCAATCAATTAGTGCTTTCAAGACTGAAATCAGGTATAAGACGACCCGCGAATCAAAACCGGTCGTTGTCAACTGTTCAAAATAGGGAAGGGCTGGGGAGCTCACACTGCCTCAACCTCCTCAACGTCCGGGCGTGGCAATCTGTGTGAGGGTGCGGGGGGAGGCATTCCGGCCCACCTGACGCCCTTTCCGTCAGGGTGGGGGGGGGGTCACTGTGCGTGAGCGTGATACACCACACCGCCTCGACCTCGCCTCCCTCTGGGTGGGATGGTGTCAGTGTGCGCGAGCGGAAGACACTCACGGCGCCTCGGCGGACGGCTCGTCCTCGTCCTCGTCCGGCTCGTCGCCGTCCTCCGGGATGCTGGGCTGGCCGGCGCGGCTCGGCTCCTGCGACAGCGGGTTGACAAGGTCAGGTCCGGTCACGGAGGGGCGGGGGCACGTGCACAGCAACATCTTGTTTATCTCAGCGTCGGAGTAGCGCGGCAACAACATCGCCAGACTTAGATACGATTCCCCGTCGCATTCGTCGCACTCGGTCAAACCTTGATGGCACATAGATTATCACAGTTGTTAGAATTTACCCCAAGTCCTGTTTCGCTTAGGTATGGGGGAAACAAGCACAATAAGAGCGTACATCGAAGGCTAGTGGTTCAGAAACAGCAATTACGCTAACCAGAGTCGCATCAAAGGTTTTGACAGTGTCTCCGCCTAAGATATCGCAGCAGCTTCAGATCATATTCCAGAACATTTTGGACAGGAAGGGTTGGAAAATATACAACACCAGACCTGTTTACGAGTTCGATCCTTCATTCACATTGTGGTCGCTATAAACAAATTTCATCGGCATTTTTTCGAAGCGTTAAGAACTGTTCGAATGATCAGGGTTATGAGACCATAGTTCGTCAGCAACCAGAGTTATACGCACCTCCTTTTTCCCAGACTCATCCTCGGACTTTTTCTTCTTTTTCTTTGTAGCGACAGGCTTCAGCGGCTCATGCGGTTTGGCGTACTGGTTTTCGCGGAAGTGTCCTGGGGTGACGTATAGTACATCCGTTAGTCCAGTGTGACGAATGACATGAAAGCAGTGCGTGAGTCACGTTGGACGCTATGTCATGTTGGATTGCAATATATGCGGCCAGTGTAGGCAATCGCCGAGATTTTGCTAAAAAAAAACTTGACTACGGAAATCGTCGGGAACAACGAGTCTGTCAGTATCAACGGGTCATAGGAAGCGTCCCCTATTCCAGAGTCTGTTGACAATGACGGTCGACACAGGCCAGTGTATCGTGGCCTCGGGTAGTCAACGTTGCACCGTCAGAGTCAGTGACTCACAGGATTCAGCGGTGGAATCAGGTACCGCTCTGGTAGAGTCCGTGAGCTGATCGCCAACCGATAGTTAACAGAGTGTGCAACGACAGCCCGCACGTTCGCTTGCCCGTCGCAACTGATATCTGGGAATCCCTCGGCGTTCTGTCCGGATGATGACGTATCTGCTGACGGCGCAGGGGCTCAAAAGCTACGACAGTGCGCAGGCCAGACCAGTCCTGGCTGGCGGCTGGAAGTAAGAGCAGGCTCGCAGACGTCGCCGTCGACAGCTTGGCCATCCGACAACCCGGCTCCAGTCTTCTCCTCGCCAGCTCATCATGCGAACCGGCTGCTTGTCCCGGTCGCTAGCGACAACTCTGCTATGCGTCGTCGCGGCCAACGGCCTGCCATTGTCGAATTCGACGCTGGAGCGGACCGCAAGGGCGACGGAGAGGCACAAGGCGAGCGCTGGTACGGCGTTGGGCGATGGCAGCAGCAGCCTGCCGCTGGAGCGGCGCACGCTCTGTCCGTTCACCATGCAGCCACGCCACATCGCCGGCAAGGTGACCGTTGAGGAGGCGGTGCTGGACCCTGCACACGAGCCGCCGACGAGCTGCTGGGGACGGCGGCACCTGCTCGGCCGTGCACAGCACAGTTACGACTCGGCTCTCCTCGGGGGAAGACGAGCAGATGGAGGCGCGTGTGGCATATGTGTGCGTGATGGATGGCCAGACGGGCGTAGAGCTGGCCAAACAGGGAGCGGCCCTCAATCGCCGGTGACGATAACGAGGTGGCGGGAGTCGCTGCGGCGCCTGTTCATCCATGACGTCCACGCTAAGACCCGTTCGCAGATGCACGTCCGCAGAACAACGTCCTGGATCGGCCAGCCGCCACCCGCCTTAGAGAAACGCGATGTTTTAGACGTGGAGTGATTTGTGTGATTTCTGGAAGCATACGAGAGACCGGAATCACTTCCGGATAGAGGCATGACGACTTCAGTTTATTATCTGACAGACAATATATTCCGTCCACTGATGTGATGCTTACGTTAGATTAAGACCAAAAGTGCTGATTGGGTTACAAGTTTTTGGAATTCCAAAATTTTCCAAGTCAGATTTAGACACTGGACGGACATGGGCAAAAATCTTTGATTTTTTTAACAGCCGATATCATTCTATCGTGTTGCAAATTGGCGCGCACTTTAACGTAGTTATTGCTATTCGTTTTCAAAAAAATTGCTTCTGAGACATAGGCAAGCTAATGGTAGAACGATTAGAGCACACTAGAAAATACCTCTTTTTGAAAAATGGGGCAATCCCGCTCTTGCGTACACTGCCACATCTTACTTTGGCTATAAGACTTATAAATTGAGATGGGAATGCGAGCGCTGATCTTCCAACACTGGCTGTTCACACCAGCTTTGAGTTCCCGTGTTACGGCTCCCGTTTTCGCCATTATATGCTGATTGTGCTAGGTCAACCTGAAATGCCCACTTAAATTGTTTAGCCGCTTGTTTTTTTTTTAATTTGGTAATGTAGGGATGTAAACATAGCTGTTACACTATGAAACATCGGAGGTGATGAATTGGTTGGGCATGGAAGGGACATCTCGCATGTGTAATTGCATTGTACTGTTGTCCACTGCCCAATGTCCGGGTACTGACTCGCATCTGATATTTATATTAGAAAATAGCGATGGAAAGAAATGCAGTGCGTCTGGTGGTGGGACACGGCGCGCTGCTTATGCGACTTTCCGGACGCCAGCGGTGCTGCGGTGTACCGCGTGAGCCCGAGTCGAGTCGCCCGATACCCCGCGGTCGGTTTGTTGTTTTAGACAACCCTACACTTCTACGCATTGGTCTTGGTTTCGTTGGCGCGCTTCCCATTTGTTACTCGGCCTCAATTTCGCGTTCGTACCTATGAAGAAGTGCGTAACTGTGGGGGACGAAGCGGAGGGAGGACAAGTAGTGCGGAGAGCGGGTTCGTTTCTCACCACATAGTCAACCTTAGCGGACATCGATGCGAATTGTAAATCATGGATCTTTTCACGACGGTCTGTAATACACAGAAGTAGCCCATGATCATGTTTTTTTTTCTTTTCGTTTTGTTCGATTCGAGTGAGGGAATAAAAAAGGTGTAATACACAGAAGTAGCTCACGATCATGTTTTTTCTTTTCGTTTTGTTCGATTCGAGTGAAGGAACGCAGCGAGGTCAGCAGTGACTGACGTTGTTGGTTGTAGCTTTACGTAGGAATTATTTGATTTTTTGTTGGAAATTTTTCGTCAGCCTGATTTTTGGGCAATTTTTGCACGGACGGCTAGTCCATCCTTGGACAGGGGATGAGGGCTTTTAGAGAACGGCGGCTCTGATCAGGACATGCTCAGGAATCATGCGAACTGCAGTTGAGATGAAAGTGCGATGGAAGCAAGGTGAAGTCGATGCCTTATCGCTGAGAGTAATCGCTGAGTGTCGTCGGGAATGGCACAAGCTGGAACCAGTAATGAGCGGAATAAACTATACTAAACTCGGAAGAGATCATGCTGTTCAGGTGGGTTACGTGTGCAAGTGATGGAACTTGAATACGCGCTCGGGTGGGGTGCCAAATTCTCCCCCCCCCCCCCACCTGAGGGTTTTTTCGGAATGGTTTCTGAACAGCGTGGCGTAGTGGCGCCAAATTTTACATAGCTGTAGACAATTAAGTGGTGCATCATATGGTATCGCAAATTTAGATGTGCTTTGTAAGATCGCTGACCCACGGCAGGTCAAAGTCAGGACATGGATTAAGCAAAGTCAATTTCTCGGGAACTGTGCAGTCTGATTGAACAACGGAGTGTAAGACGAAGCCATGCATCTCTGAAATATTTACTCAGGCAACACAACATTTGAATGACTAAATTCCATTGACCTAGGAGCAGGTATGAAGGTCAGACCAAGCTCAAAAACAGTCTGCCTACTGCTCTACAGCTTGCGCTAGGGGTAGTTTTCGGTGCTCTTTCGAATTTTTTGATAACAGGAGCCGCATTAGACACCTCCATAGACTTCTTAAAGGTCAGAATAGGTCCCGAACCCAAAATGACCCAGGTCAACATTTATTTTTTAGGGACATGCCGCCTAGCGTTAACTTTGTCGCTTATTCCAATGCAAAACTCAAAGCACTCTTGCATCACTTTGGTCACCATGATCTTCAAAAGGTCATACAGGGTCACTGACCTGAAATGAGCACGCGACTAATTGCTTAGAACGGGTATCTAGGTCTGGGGACACTTTGAAGACCAACTTGGAGTTTGACTTGTGTTGACCTTATTCGACCCGAAAGTCATGACCTGGAAACCTCAAAATTGGTGTCTCTAGATTTCTTAGTTCCTGAGATCTAGGAGGGGGGTTCAAATTGGCCCCACCCGAGAGAAGGGCATCCCACCGGCCGCCCGAGTGCATGTTAATACGCCACTATACACGACTTATAGCCAGCACGCCTTGTGCGTCCCACCAATGCACTCCTTGAGCAGCGCTCCACAGCTGGGTACCCTGACCACCGGGCCGCGGGACAGCGGCAGGCGGATATCAGCCGGACCCGGCCCGAGCACAATCGCCGCATCAGCGCCACCCGAGACGGCCAGGTAGCCTGACCCGTCACCAGACCACGGGGCACAGTCGGACGGCAGGGCGGCCGCGGTAACACGCGCCCGGGTGGCCGGCTAGATACCTTTCGTTCGGGTGGGGGTGGGGGTCAATTTGACCCCCCCGAGATCTCGGGAACTAAGAAAGCTAAAAACACCAAATTTACAGGGTGTCTTGACCTGTACGTAAACTCACTTAGGTCAAACTTTCAAGTTCCTAGGTCATGACCTTCGGGTCAAAAAGGTCGAACAAGTCAGGCTTCAGGTTGGTTTTCAAAGTACCCCCAGAACCTAGATAACCGTTTCTAAGCAAAAGGTCACACGCTCATTCAAGGTCAGTGACCTTGATTGACCTTTTGAAGGTCAAGGTGACCAAAATCATACAAGATTGCTTTGAGTTTTGCATTTGACTAAGCGACAAAGGTTACGCTAGGCAGTATGCTCCTAAAACAAAATGTTGACCTGGATCATTTTAGGTCAATGACCCATTCTGACCTCTAAAAATTCCATTAAAGATGTATAATGCGGTCCCTGCTATCAATAAATTCGAAATGAGCACCAGAAACTATCTCATACAGCAAGTCCCTGGGTAACAAAAAAGATTGGTTTTGACCTTGGTGTGACCTATATACTTGACCTTAGGTCAATGTAATTTTCCCTTTCCTCTGTTGTGTTGCCTAAGAAAGCATCTCAGAGATGCATGGCTTCGTCTAACACTCCGTTGTTGGATCGGATTAAAAGATTCTCTAGAAATTGTCTTCGCTGAAACCATGGCCTAACTTTGACCTGCCATAGGTCAGCGACCTGACAAGGTACACCTAAATTTGTGATACCAAACGATCCGCTATTCCATTATCTAAAGTTCTGCTAAATTTGGCGCGGCTACGCCGCGCCGTTGGGAAACCATTCTGGAAAAACCTTCGGGGGTTCAATTTGCCCCACCCCCACCCGGGCGCGTGTTAATCAAGCCCGCCATCCCAGTGGCTCTCACGGTAGGCTGAGTACCGTCCCCCCCCCCCCCCTCCTGCCCGCCCTCTGCAGCCAGTCACGGTGCAGGTACAGCTCATACGTTCTTGCGCGGAACAGATGTTCGGACAATAAAGCACTTAGTGCCACCGATTATTTATATTCATCAGAGACTTGAGCTCAAAGCACAATTCTTAACCAAGTTGGCTTACATCCAAGCTGTTTTGGGTCATGTGCCCACGTGTTGCAGTCCGTACAACTATTGCATTGCATTATATGAAACGACCTTAAAAACTGTTTATTTCTGAAAGAAATACGAGATCAAGATGCCCAGCGTAAACAGAGTGAAAATATATAAGGGGATTAAGACGCAAGCAAACAAAAAACAACGGCAACACAGAGTACAAATTTGAGAAAAATTATGACTGGGTGCGGGGTTGGGTAAAATATCTACAAAATTTCGGGTAGATACATTAAGAAATATTACAAATTGTTGCTTGCGCGCGCTTCTTTTACCCACAAGCAGCTCTGTTCACGCTACTTTTGCAGTTATCAACGCTAAAGAGTAAGATTTTGTGCAAACTGTACGGCAACTCTTCCACAATTTAGAACTTAAGTACTGGTGACATGAAAGCGGATGGGGAGCGGGTGCGTTCAACCGGTTTGTGATGGGTAGCGGGTAGGCAGCGACAGAGCCCCATGGGTAGCGGGTAGGCAGCGACACAACCCCATGGGTAGCGGGTAGGCATGGACACAACCCCATGGGTAGCTGGCGGATTGCTACCCGTGAAAGCCTCTACGCAAGGCCGAGCCAGCCGACACAGCCAGTCATCTGACTCAGTCCTCAGTCTGCAAACTCTGACTCACTCCTCAGTCTCCCGCAAACAGAGCTTCGAGCAGGGCAAACGGATTGTACTGAACGGCAGAGAACTGGAACAACTCATAGTTTTGGCTCATAAGGCTCTTTGGGGAAGCAACCCGGCCGTGCCCGCAGTAACATGTCGTCAATCCAGAGAATACCCTGAAAGATGAAGACCAGGTGTTTATGTCATTTGGGGAAATGGGGTGAAGTGCAATCCTGTAATTTTGATGATTGTGAGAAAATTCATAGCCTTGCGCTGTTGAAATGTAGGTAAAGATGCTGAAGGAATCGGTCAACTTCTTCATTATTTACCTTATCTGATTTCTAGAATCTTACGAATTCACAAGTATCGTATCATTACGAGTAGATAATCGATTTGTTTGAACTACCGAGGACGGGCTGGCCGCGGGTCAACCCAGCCCAGGCTGACAGCAGAGCGCCCCGACCGAGGACGGGCTGGCCCCGGATCAACCCAGCCCAGGCGGACAGCGGAGCGCCCCGATCGAGGACGGGCTGGCCCCCGATCAACCCAGCCCCGGCGGACAGCGGAGCGCCCCTATCGAGGACGGGCTGGCCCCGGATCAACCCAGCCCAGGCGGACAGCGGAGCGCCCCTATCGAGGACGGGCTGGCCCCGGATCAACCCAGCCCAGGCGGACAGCGGAGCGCCCCGACCGAGGGCGGGCTGACGACGGCTCGGATGGCTTGCTGGAGAGAGGGTGAACACGTCACGACCAGAGTCGTGTCCGTCCCCCGGCGGCAGCGCGAACTTTACATTCGAGACTCTTCCAACACCGAACACGACGTCAGCGGCCCGTGCAGCAAACCAGCAGCCGGCTGCAAGCCTCGGGCCTTACCGTACTTCGTTGAAACTGCTTGCGCTATAAATAATGTGCCCGAAGGCGTCCCATGACGCTGAATAACCGTGTCATGCTATTTTAAAAGCGGTGCAGACGGCTCGCGAACACATGCTGCCGCATCTGCGCACGTGTCGCATCTCGCCCACGCATCGGACCGTTACCTTGGGCACTACAGCCCTGTGGCTACCCCTGGACTACCACTGATTTGGCACGAAGGTGCCTCGCACCGGGCCCAATACTCGGTGCTCCTCTGTGGCCGTAATGTGAACCGGTCCCCCTCTGTGTTCGTGTTTGTCCTGGACACATGTCCTCCCCTCCCTCGCGCTGCGTGCCCCTAGCAGTCATCAAGACGTGCGCGAGGCTAGGCGCACGGTTCACCAGCGCAGCTCAGACACATTCCGCGCCGTCTTGTGACCGCCGCCGGCACAGTCGGCACCGTCTTGTGACCAGCGCCGGCACAGTCGGCGCCGTCTTGTGACCAGCGCCGGCACAGTCGGCACCGTCTTGTGACCGCCGCCGGCACAGTCGGCACCGTCTTGTGACCAGCGCCGGCACAGTCGGCACCGTCTTGTGACCGCCGCCGGCACAGTCGGCACCGTCTTGTGACCGCCGCCGGCACAGTCGGCACCGTCTTGTGACCGCCGCCGGCACAGTCGGCACCGTCTTGTGACCGCCGCCGGCACAGTCGGCACCGTCTTGTGACCGCCACCGGCACAGTCGGCACCGTCTTGTGACCAGCGCCGGCACAGTCGGCACCGTCTTGTGACCGCCGCCGGCACAGTCGGTACCGTCTTGTGACCGCCACCGGCACAGTCGGCACCGTCTTGTGACCAGCGCCGGCACAGTCGGCACCGTCTTGTGACCGCCACCGGCACAGTCGGCACCGTCTTGTGACCAGCGCCGGCCGGGGCCTCAGCCAGCCACGGCCGCTTCCGGGGCAGCGGGGGACGCGCTGACCCGGCCCGGCCCGCCCGCGCCGTCATGGCTCGCCGCGTCACGTGACAGCCGAGCCGAGGTCGCCACGTATGTCACCGGAGCCGCGCCGGCCCGTCGGGACGCCACCTCTGCAGACGCGCTCACCGGATTACAGTGAGAGCGGCCCGTGGGCGCCGTCACACCGTCACACGGCGCTCACCAGCTACAGTGAGAGCGGCCCGTCGGCCGTCTCTCCGGACCGACGAACGCAGCGAGTGACTGCGGCGACGGCCGACAACCAAGCGCTCTTCCAGGCGGCTGGTCATCTCACCGAAGCAAGCGACGACTTGGGAAAGTGCTGAGGTATTCTCACATCTTCTCTTTCATTTCTGTGAGCTGCTCCGGCCAGACCACCTCGCTCCGACCAGATCACCTCGCCTTGGCCGGGGCGGAGGCATCTCTCCATGCCCCGCCGGGTTGTCGTGTGGGCCACCGTGCATACCTCAGCCGGCTGTCGGAGACCCTGTCCCAGGCTTGCGTCTCAGGCCTCGTCCGCGGCGTCGCTTGGCAGGAATCCCCGGTCGCGTCGGTGGTAGACACGTGCTGCCCTCCGGCCGTCCAATAGCACGGTCAGGGGCCCTCCAAGCAGTCGGTGGGGTCTGGTGAGATACGTGACTTCGGCGCGCGTCGGCCACGTTGGTCATCTCGTGAGGCCGGCCCGCTCGGCCGAGTCGTGACGACCGCCGGTGTTGTACGTAGGTACGTCTTATAAGCAGCGTTGCAGAGACAGTCCGACCAAGAAGACGACTCGTGCAACATTTGTATCCAGTCCGGCCAAGAGCCCGGCAGATACACATGTGATGTTCACTGCTGACAAGCCCGGGGAAAGACAGTCGAGCACCCTCGCGTCACTCGCACCGGCGCCTTGTCGGGTGACATTCCCGGAAGAGGCAGACGTTCTTGACAGTTCGGATAAGCAGTCCGCATGGTTCGCTGCCAGAGCAGTATCGCCCGTAGCTCGCATGACGCACACCTGATTATGCGCCAGCGCCGAGCTTTAACATAAGCATGGGTGGCGGTTCGGGTCGGGTGGGGAATACCCAGTGGGTATGTCGATCGTCTGCAGGGAGAGGAAGAGCGAACGGCGCACTGAATATGGCAAGTTAACCGCCTACCGTAGTCACAAACAACGTATGTACATCCTGGCATTCGTCGTTGAGACCGGACTATGCGACTAGCGTCCTGACTAGAGGACTAGTTCCAGCGAACATGCTGGATAAATTACCGCTATGGTCACGGGAAAGGCCACATAGCGTGCAGGAGGCTCTCCCGTGTGCCCGGATGTAACGTCTAGACCATGCCTGTTAACGTGGCTAAAGTCCCACACAAAAGAGACGCCACACAGAAGCGACACCTTCCGAGCGCGACACCCGAGCTGTTTGTGGCGAGGAGGCGACGGCCACCGCAAGACAAGGCCAACTGGTCGGGGCGCATGCCAAGCCGCCGAAGGGAAAGACATAGGCCGGTGGCCACCGCTCGTCGGGTACGGTCCCATCAGGTCAACACAACACCGTTGCGGGCGTGAGGGGTGGGGCGCGGCCGTACCTTGGAAGTCATCCTCGGAGAAGCGCTTGGCCGGCTTGACCTCAGTCTCCTCGGTGACGAGGGAGGCGAAGTCGGTGCGCTCCTCCGGCGCGCGGAACATGTTCTCCATCTCGTCCATGGCGTCATTGTCGGCCGCATATCGGTGGTACGGCTGCAGCGACAGGGGACGCTGGGTCAGACACGGCGCTGGTCACTGGCCCATGGGGGAGGAGTGGGGAGAGGGGAGCGAGGACCTCGACGGTGAGGTAAGCACTTGCAGTTGGCGGGACAGCAACCAGGAAGCAGCGGTGTGTTGTTGAGCAGTTCAATTAAAAAAGACACCACCCGTCAATGAACAAATGTGTTAAATGGGTACGAAGTGCAAAGAGGCAAAAAGGTACAACGCTGCTGATCATAATATTTTCTGAGAAAAGCAAGAAGACTTGGGAGTTGAGTGCACGTCAAGCAAAAGCAAGTGCATATTTGAACCGCGAGAGAAAACGGATGGAAAACACCATAACTACGGTCGTCTTCCGCGTGGCCCTTGACCTTGACCTAGCCTGTTATCGAGGCACGTGACAGTCAACGACGTGGGGATGCCGATAGGCACTCATCATGGCAAATCTGAATCCGGCGATTGTGCCCTCCAGCGGGCGGCGCAATCGCCCGGGCCTGAGATACCCCTCCCCACAGCACAAGGTCAAACGCGCTCTTAAGAGCCGAAAACAAGCTAAGAGCGGCATTGGATACCAGCGCGACCATTCGGACACTTCAGAGCAAGAAAAGCCGCCCTGCGTTGACGCACTGATAAATACGAATTGGACATCAAATGCCAGCACGCGTGTCCGCGCCGCGACCCCGCACATGAGTGGGGCGATTTTTTGTTGTTGTGTGTGTGGCCATGTTGCTAGAAATGTTACGTGAACGCAATAAACAGCGATAGAGATCAGATAGAAGACACATGGGGGAAGAAAGCAAAAGTGCAGGGGCAGAGAGAGAGAGAGAGAGAGAGAGAGAGAGAGAGAGAGAGAGAGAGAGAGAGAGAGAGAGAGAGAGAGAGAGAGAGAGAGAGAGAGAGAGAGAGAGAGAGAGAGAGAGAGAGGGGGGGGGGGGGGAGCGGGACAGAGCATGCCTGTGCAGGAGAAATGGTGCAAAACATCAACAATCAGCCGGTGATTCAAACAGCATACTCCCTTTATTGGAAATGGAATGCCATTGTGCGCCAAGGTTGGCAAGGAAAGGTTCGCGGTGTGCATCAAAACATGTGATTTTCTGGTGCCCAATAAGCGTCTTGCTGTTTTGAGACTTGCCAGCCGCGGTCAGTCCGAATGAAAAATGGCCCACTCATTGTGTAACCGCTCGGCTGTGGATCATGCACAACCCGCCCGGCTTGTGTTTTCTAATCAGCGGACAGGTGTGGTCGAGGCCGGGCAAGCCTAGATGACTAGAGAGCTGGAAAAACCGAGACGAGATGCCGGGAGAGACGAGTTGTGTGCGCATGTGTATGTGTGAGTGTGTATGTGAGTGTTGAGATGATGGGTGGGAAGACCGGACGCGTTTCCAGGAGAGGCTGCCTTGTGTTTGTGTACGTTCAGAGGGGAGGTAGTGGTGTTATCGTCGTTTGCTAAGACGTGACTCGCACCTGCAGGCAGCGCAGTCCCAGCCGCGAGTCACGCGGCTCTCCGAGCCGGGCAACTCACGATTCTCAGGAAGATTGCGCTGCAACGCACAAGCGCAGAGGCGACAGTGCAACGCCCAGCCATCGACCCCGGCGAGCTGAGCTGACGCCCGGGCACGTTTGCGATAGCAGGTTTCGACGCCGCCAAGCCAGGTCACTCGTTTCGCCCGGACGGCATATAGCGTATATTCTGTGCTACCTCGCGTAAGAAGAGGATGGACTTAAGGTCCACCGCTAACAGAGAACGTTTACCCGTTGCTGGCATGGAAAGCGCGCATTGTGCGTGGGAGTCAGGTGTACTTTCAAGTGACTTTCGTTGAATGACCCCACTGAGTTTCCAGTAGTTCATACATATCGAAAGTAAACTATAATTTGACAAAAGCCATTTCACATGAATCAATGTCCAATTACTTGTGCTGTTTTAATTGGGATTTGCACAAATTTAGAAATGCTTATAAACTGTTACTCACGAGAAGTGAGCACCAAGTGACAAACAGCACAGGCATCCATAACTGGTAACTGGCAGGAGACCAATCACTCATTAAGATATGTTCCATGTTGAAGTTGTTGGCAGCTGTGTGTCATTGGGGCTTTAAGGCGCACTCAGCTGCTGAGGCTATATGGCGTTGCCTGCCTCTCAGCCCTGGCAGGAAGGGCGGGCACCGCGGGGAATCGAACCCCGTACCTCTGGTCTCCCAGACGCGCAGTGGTGAGCACAGACGCGCTAACCACTGCTCTACCGGCACCCCTTGTTGGCAGCTGCTGTGTCCACGTCTACGGCCGCTCGGTAGTTCATACACGCCAATGCGCCCTCGGGGCATGTGCTCTCCTGACAGCCGACTGCCGTGAGGAATTTTGTTTTGCTCCGCATTGAAACCGGCAAACCGCCAAGTCACGCTGCGGGAGGATGGCCCTGCCGACCGCGGTAGGCGGGACAGGAAGTGAGAGTGTAGCGTTGTGTGCCTCTGGAATGTCCGGCCCCGTACCCAGAAACCTGAGAGGATGGCATTACTCCAACGACACATGAAAGGGGCGACCTTAAGAGCTACAAAAATTTATTGGAGGGCCCGGTCAAGTATGACCCGTGGCAGGGAAGCACCTGAGGACACCACGTCAGTGCCCTGGTAGAGCAGGGTTCTCCGTGCCCTGGGCCCGTGCCGGAGACCCCTGTTGCGCCTTGAACAAGGCCCTCCGGAGATGCAAGAGGGTCTCTCCGGGTCATCCGCAGCAGGGCCGGCCCGGTCGAGCGGCAGCCCGTGTCAGCCCAGCTCCGGTCGAGCGGCAGCTCATGTCAGTTCAACTCCGGTCGAGCGACAGCTCGTGTCAGCCCAGCTCCGCTCGAGAGGCAGCTCCTGTTAGCCTAGCTCCGGTCGAGCGGCACTTTGTGTCAGCATAGCTCTGATAGAGCGGCAGTTCGCGTCAGATCAGCTCCGGTCGAGCGACAGCTCGTGTCAGCTTAGCTCCGGTCCAGCGGCAGCTCGTGTCAGTTCAGCTCCGGTCGAGCCACGGCTCGTGTCAGCTCAGCCTCGGTCGAGCGGCAGCTCGTGTCAGCCCATCTCCGGTCCAGCGGCAGCTCGTGTCAGTTCAGCTCCGGTCGAGCCACGGCTCGTGTCAGCTCAGCCTCGGTCGAGCGACAGCTCGTGTCAGCCCAGCTCCGGGCGCGGGCGGACGAGACACGCAGAGGCGTTCCCGGCACACAGAGCCATTCTGCAGCCGAACAAGCGTCCCGCTCTCGGTGCCGCCACCAGCACAGATCCGGCTCGCTCGCCATACACGCACGAGTGTCCAGAGCCGAGCGACACCGCGGGCACATTCCCCGCGCCGCGCACGCCTCCCACTACGAACCGTACCTTTTTGAACGGCCTGGTAACCGGCTCCTCCTTGTCAGCCATGGCAGTGACTGCGACGGGGCGGCCGGACAGCGCTCAGACAACGCCAGACAGCGACTGAGCGGCGGCGGCGCAAGATCACGAGTGTGGCACGCCCGCCGCCGGTCCGGCAGCTCGACCGGCGTTATCAAGCGTCGCTACCTCACATGACCGTCTGACCAGATAGAAGGCCGCGATCACCGAGCCGGGCCGGCGTCGAGCACCACAGATTGGCGGAGAGCGAAAAACAAGGCGGCGCGGGGGGCGGCCCTCATTCTCGAATGTAGGTCCCGTGATGGGAACAAGAACGGCAGTGTACGCTGGGACAGAAAATGAACACCAGAGTCTTAGACGTGCTCCGGGCCGGTCCACGTCGGCGCATCGGTCGGCGTGCCTGGAGCCGCTATTTGACGAGGACCGCCAAGGCTCGTCGCTGGCGTCGAACGCAGCAACCATCAAGCCAACGGACTGACGAATCAATTGAATGTGGTGCTTCTTGTAGTGCTGATCCGCGTGGCCTACCGCGTTGGGCCTCCCGCTGATACCGAGACACTGATACGCTGCTTATGCGTCGAAACGAAGAGGCTGCACTGGTCTTATCTAGGTACTGAGCGTTGACCTCTGAATCGCTATTCTGCGTTATATACAAAAAAGCGAACACGTGTTGCACACCGAGACATGTGAAATGCTAAAGCCTACGGCCGCGACCGAACAATAACCAACTTGCACCGGCATCAGATTCACGAGTGAAGTCCTGCAGCGTGCTCTGAGAGCGTTCTGAGAGAGAGAGAGAGAGAGAGAGAGAGAGAGAGAGAGAGAGAGAGAGAGAGAGAGAGAGAGAGAGAGAGAGAGAGAGAGAAAGCTCTGTGAGCGTTCGGCGCTGAGCGGGGGCCAGGCTGTGGGGGCAGGCGGTGCGCTGAGCGGGGGCCAGGCTGTGGGGGCAGGCGGTGCGCTGAGCGGGGGCCAGGCTGTGGGGGCAGGCGGTGCGCTGTGCGTCACGAGGGGCCTGTTCGGCCGCGACTCCCGTTGACCGATGGCCGCCGCGTCCGGGCCAAGCCAAGTCTCGAACCGGCGGCCCCGACAGACGCCCGGGCCAAGTCTCAGGACGAGCGGAGGCCCCGGCCAAGCAAAGGCTCGAGCCGGGGGCCCCAGCAAACGCCCTGGGTCAAGTCTCAGCACGAACGCCCGGGCAGCAGCCGCAGTCGCCGCCTCCGATAGACGCCACGTCTCGGTCAGGTCGATGACCGGTGACCCACATGGGGTACAGCGATGGAGTGAAAGCCGCCGCCAAGGCCGGGCTTTGGTTGAGCGCAGCCGCCGGAGTAGCATCCGCTCCGGCTCTGACTTCACCTCCGGCCCCGGCCGCGGCTCCGGCTCCGGCTCTGACTTCACCTCCGGCCCCGGCCGCGGCTCCGGCTCCGGCTCTGACTTCACCTCCGGCCCCGCCGCGGCTCCGGCTCCGGCTCCGGCTCAGGCTCCGGCTCCGGCTCCGGCGCCGGCTTCGGCTCCGGCTCCGGCTCCGACTCCTACTCCGACTCTGGTTCCGGCTCCGGTTCCGGCTCCGGCTCTGGTTCCGGCTCCGGCTCCGGCTCCGGCTCCGGCTCCGGCTCCGGCTCCGGCTCCGGC